TCCTACACGTGCTGTCTGCTGCCCGAGGAGGCACCTCTGCGGGAGCGGGGCTGGCGAGCACGCATGACGGCCCGCGGCCCCTGCGGCCCGGCGGCATCAGAAGCGCCAGCTGGGCTGGACGGCCACCTCGCTCTGGTTCAGGCTGCGCTCCCGCAGCCGCAGCTCCAGACACTCCACCGTGAGCGGGTAGGTGGATAGCTCAAACTTGTTGGCAAACAGGCTGTCCGAGTCCATCAGCCACTTCAGGTCTCCGTTTCCGTAGATGCAGATGCCATGGACGTAGTGACCTGCAGAGGGAGACATGGGGGGGGTCAGGCTTCTGCCCCCGTGCGCCGTCCTGCCTGCCCTCCCCTAAGCACTGGGAAGGCGCAAGGACGTGGATGAGCAGGGCCGGGCGGGGCCTGGAGAACAGGAGTGTCCAGAATGGGAGGTGATGGGCGAGGCAGCAGCCTCCGGGGGGCAGTCCCACCCCCACAGCCTCCCCGCACGCCTGTAACGGGCACCATAAGCCCCCACACCCTCTCAACACCCTTCTGAGGGGACCGGGAGTCAGCCACACCCCATCTGCACCCCCCAGCAGCCACAGACCCTGCTCCCCTCCCAGTGCCCCCACAACTCCCCCTGCAGCAGCCTGAGCCCCCACACCCATCCCTGAGCTCCCAGCACCCCCGCTCCCCTGCCCCTAGCCAGGTCTCACCGTGACAGCCCCCGTGCTTGTCCTCCATGTCGTTCCACTTGATGGCCCTGAGGTTGCCGTCCCAGGAAGCGTTGGGCATGGCGCCGGGGACACCTGCGTGGACGGGAGGGCGAGGTGCTGCAGTGAGGGGCACAGCACCCCCAGGGGCATCAGGGGCCAAGGTCCAGCCACACCGTGAAGCTGCAGCCGTGACTAAGGGGGGCTGCAGCCAGTCGGGGTCTGGCCAGGCGGTCCGGAGTCCCCCCGAGGACCAGGAGACGCCATCTCAGGCCACCCACCTGCCGGCACCCCCGGCCGGTGACTCTGTCCCCAAGCAGGGCAACACCAGAGTCTGGGCCTAGGCCCAACATGAAAGGTCTGGAGGGAGGATGCCGAGAGGACAGGCCAGAGTGGACCACATCCTCCCCTTCCAGCTGCCGCAGTTAAAGTTCTGGACCCCACGTCACCACGCACGTGAGATCACAGGACAGAAAGTAGCGTCCTGCATGCCAGCCCCTGTGCAGCTCGCCTGCCCAGCTCGCCCCTGAAGCTCAGAGACTGAGTGGACAGAGACAGACTGGACACTTGGGGCCCACAGCTCTTTGAAGGGAGTGTCCTGTGTGGGCACCACCCTCTGGACACCAGTCTCTCTCCTTCCCCAGGGACAGTCCACACAGGATCCCCCAGTGACAGTGAGCCCCTCCTGGTGGGCAGGGTAGCACCGGGGGACACCTCACACCGGGGAGCCTCAGATGCCACTAGGGAGCAGGGGCTTGTGGGACTCGTGGGGGTGTGGCTAACGGGCGGCGCTTGCTCCAGGGCTGCCCCCAGCAGGCAGGCAATGTGATGGGAGGCACCACACAGAAGGACTCATGAGAGGACTCCTGCCCCGGCCTCGGCCGGCAGAGAGGACGCCCTGTGTGGCCAGGCCAGGGCCCCACGCTGAGGGGCAGGAGGTGAGTCGCAGGCCTCACCTGGCCGTAGTCAGGGAGTCAGACTGAGCCTGTGGCCATCAGAGCAGGTGGGACAGAGACCATTCGGGGGACGGCCACGGCCGGGCTGTGCAGGACCCTGACCACAGGTCTGATGGACTCTGAAGCCACGGACTCGGGCAAACGGGTGTGACCCGTGACTGTCGCGGTAACCCGGCTGTGGCAAGAGCCCAGCCCCCTGGAAACCGCTTCCTGGACCCCTGCTTCAGAGTGTGTCTTCTGGGCCTGGAGTTCCCCGGATGCTGGAGTTGGCACTGAAAAGCTGTATCAGTCAACAGGCTTCTTTGTTCTTAGCACATGTCTTAAAGAATTTAGGTGAACCCTGACCGGGTGAGCTGGACGGGCAGGGGGGAGCAGCCGCCCAGAAAGGGGGGTGCTGTGGGGTGTTTGCTGTTGGGGCGAGACTGACATATGTATAGTGCTTTCGAGGAGTCCATGTTGATGCAGCAGCCTCAAGTGTGAATAAACAACGCGTGACACAAAGCCCCCCCGCCCTTTACAGGGCTACATTTCCACGTGGCCTCCCTTGTCCTCGTTCACCTCGCTGGCTCTGATGTCATTTTTGGAGTTCGGGGTCCTTGGGTCCACTCTGGGAAAGGTTTCACCAGAGCTTCCCTGTCAGCGGCCCGCGGCGAGGTTCTCCTCCAGACAGAGACTCAGTTATGTTTAAAGAGGAAGTTTATTAGAAAGAGACGGGAGAGGAAAGGACATTTGCATGAACACAAGTGGGCAGGGAGAGCTGCCGGAAAGGGACAGGTTTGCAAGGAGACCTGCATGGTTGCAGGGGGCGGCCTTAGGGGAGCGGCCTCGGCTGAGGGGGTCAGTGCAGAGAGATTCTGGGCAGGCAGGAGGCTGCTGCCCTGGGAGGGAGAGAAGGGTGGGAAGGACACCTGCGTGGGCACAGGTGGGCAGAGGAGGCTGCCCTGGGCCAGGCAGAGCCTGCCTGACAGACAGCTTCTCTGGAGGGCTCACTCTGTGTTTGTTGACTTTGAATAGAATCTGAGAAGACCGGAGATTCTCTAATCAGCTTCATCTCCCAGTCCTTATCTTTACCTTCTGGGTCTGAGCTTCAGGCACAGCCCCCAACATTCTGTTATCTGCTGGGGCCTCCACCACATCCTGGCCTGAGGACCTTGATTTTATGGCTGGGTCACGTGCGACACTGGCCCCCTCTACCCAGCCCCTTGTGTGAATCAATCTGGTGATGCCTCCCCCTGCATTCCTTCCTCCATCAGGACCAGGAACTCCCACTTCCCCTGGGAGCCCAAAGGCACCAAGACCCAGACATCCTGTGCCCGGGCCAGGTCATGGGGACCTCTGACCCCAGGCGAGTCATCTGGGGGTCACCAGAGGAGGGAGCTCGGCCCACCCCAACCTCATCCCCACCGGAGACATAAAACTATTTCCAGATAACACCAAGTGGCCCCTCCCAGGTCACTGCCCCCTAACAAAACCTTGCACAGATATTTGCATAGATAAGGAGACCTTTTACTTTAGAAAACACTAATGTTTGCAGTGATAGTACATCCCTGGCACACCCCAGGCAGTAATGTACTTAAGGATTTAGGGCCCACCCAGAGAAACCAAGTAGTGTACACTGCTATCGGGTTCAGCGATCAGGAGGGACCAAAATGGTGCTTCTCCTCCTCACCGGTGCAGTACAGGGGCACCCACCTGCCCCCTACCCCGACACCGCCGTGGCCCGTGGGACCAGTTGGGGTGTCGGTGCGTGGTCAGGGCAAGGTAAACGGTCTGGCGGGCCCTGGGGACAAGCCGGCCATCAAGTCCACCCTGGCCTTTATCCCCAGAAGTAAAGAAGCAGCAGGCCGGTTCCCACATAATCCACAGCCACTCTGGGACACGCACAGTCTGGACGAAGTCACGCTGGGGTGGGGGAAAGGCGGCAGGGCTGCGAGGGGCCAGGCTGGGCCTGGCCGGACAGCGGTCACCCACCGTGGCTGTGGTGTTGCCCAGGAACTCGTCCTTCTAGGAGGGCGCAGGAGGAGGGGCAGGCTGGCAGTGCCAGTCCTGGCCAGGGTCTCTGATCCCCAGGGCGTCCACACCTTGGATGGCAGCGGCCTCTGGCCGCTGGCCCAGCGTCTCCATCCACCTTCCCTCCTGCACGAATCGGACCTCCCTTGCCCAGCCCATCACACCTCCGGTGGGGGCGGGTTGTGTGTGCCCTGGCACTCAAGCAGCAGCCTCCCCTAGGTGACCCTGTGGGCCCTAGCGGTCCCTTCTAGAACAGTCAGCCCTGCTGCCTCCTGGAGTGTGACCTGTCACCCTGAGGACCTCATGGAGGAAAGAATGCAAGAGGCGACATCCCGAGATGGACATCCCGAGAGTCATACAGGCGGGATGGGTAGAAGAGGCTACCCTAGCAATTAAAATTAACACAGCCATAAAAATCAAGATCCTAGACACAGTCATAAAATCAAGGTCCTCAGGCCCCAAAGCCTGGATGCCCAGAAGTTACTGGGAGGCCCCAGCAGATAACAGACTGTTGGGGGCTGGGTGGGAAGATCAGACCCAAAAGGTAAATAAATGATAAGGACGGGGAGATGAAGCTGATTAGGGAATCTCCAGTCTTTTCAGATTCTATTCAAAGCCAACAACCTCAGGCCCAGGAGGAGTGAGAGCCCTCCGGGAGGAAAGCTGTCTCTATCAGGCAGTTTCTGCCCAAGCAGGTGTCCTTTCCACCCCTCTCTCCCTCTCAGGGCAGCAGCCTCCCGCCTGCCCGTGACCTGCACCTGCTGGGACTTACCTGCACTGACCCCCCTCAGTGGAGGCCGCTCTCCTAAGGCCGTCTGCCTGCAACCACGCAGACCTCTATGAAAAACTGTCCCTTTCGGGGCTCAGCGCCCCTTTGTGCCTATGCAAGAGAGTCTTTTCCTCTCCTGTGTCTTTCTAATTGTTGGGAGTGACCAAGTGGGGCGATATACTGAGGGGACTAGATAAGGGCAGTAATAAACTGGGCCTTGCGTCCTAGGGTGATAAATTAACTGGGCCTTGCGTCTGGGATGGGACTAGATGAAGGTGAGACGAACTGGGCCTCGCGATGAGTCACCCCTTTGGAATCAGAACCTAGAATCTACATAAGAGACCCTTTTCCCCTATAGCTGCGGACCCCACCTAGGGGCTCCTCTCTGCTGCTGCCCGGGAGCAATAAACTGCTTGCTCAGCTTTTCTGCCTCCCGTCTTTCTTGGCATGGGTCACAGAAGTTGGGACAAAACACTAATAAGGTTTCTCTTTAAACATAACTGAGTCTCTGGAGAATCTCGCTGCGGGCCGCTGAAAGGGAGCTCTGGTGAAACCTTTCCCACAGTGGACCCAAGGACAGCAAACTCCAAAAACAACATGAGACCCCCAAGAGTCCCACTCCTCCTGCCCTCGTTCAACGATGCATCTCCCCATCTCCCACCCCCCACCCCCGACTGGCCGGGGGCTTGGTTTTGTCCAAAATCACACGGCCTGCCCCAGCTAGCGAGCCAGGCCCGGTCCTTGCATGGGCCCTGCCACGGGCTGGCACAGAATGCTGCCCAGGCTCAGAGCCCCATGCGCCCAGGGCGGCCGGCTCCCCCTCACCCCTGCCCTGCCCCCCAGCTGCAGCCTCTGGGAAGCCCACGGGTCCTTCCCTGTCCTCATAGTTCCAAGAATGGGGTTTCTGCAGATGGCAAACAAAAGAAGTCAAGTTCAAAGTAAGAGCAGGGCAGCCTGCGGGCATCTGGGAGTTGCTAGGACCTGACCTGAAAGTTCTCACCAGAAACAATGAGCTGGCTCGAGGCCCAGGAGTGCTGAGTCACCTGCAAGCACCCGGCTGGCACCGGGCTGGCACACGTTTCTCACAGGGCAAGGCGCGAACGTGTGACCCCAGGCAGCCTCATCTTAGAGAAAGAGAAAGGCACCCTCCTGAACAGACTTGTTCAGGGGCATTTCTCGTTCGGTATACCCGTCCTGTCTCCACGCCTGTGGCAAAGGAGAAGTGGATCCCCCAGGGGTACGGGGACGTGTGGCTCAGCCAGGGATGTCGCCTGGGCCGAGGAACTTTGTCGTAGACGTTGAAAAACAAGCACCTGGCGGAGCAGAACCGGAACCGGAACCAGAGCCGAGCCAGGGGCTGT